AGCATTCTTACTTTACAGCATTTTTTCACACCTGCCTAAAACATTTGCACAGTACTGTATACAGTATCTGAGACAGAGATTGTCCCAGAGGGGGTATTCCACTCTCTCAAATAGTCCTTATTAGGCTGGTGTAGCTGGGTGACTAATGGACCTGGATGATTTCAGAGGGAGTTTGGGGTTTTTTCCTGAGGATCTATTTGGCAGTATGCCTGAGGCCCTAGTTTCTACCATTTGGTAGCAACTTTCTCTTTAAAGGAAGAGGTAGTTCCATTTGCCTTAAAGGAGGTGGTGGTGTACTTCCACTTCCTCAAGAGGCCATTGCTGGACCCAACACATCTGAACAACTTTTGTCCAGTCTCAGACCTCCCCTTTTTGGGAGAAGATCATTGAGAAGGTAGTCAAGCTGCAGCTTCAGAAGGCCATGGAGGAAGCAGATTATCTGGACCCTTTTCAGTTAAGATTCAGGCCAGGGCATAGTAATGAGACAGCATTGATTTCAGGCCTCATTGGGATGGGGGTGGTGCAACCATCCTAGCTCTCCTTGCCTCTCAATGGCACTCTCTTCTATTGGACTATAGGGACTGAGAGTAGGGGCACAGAGTTGCAGTGGTTGTCCTTTCTCTGTGGCTGGTTCCAGTCAGTGTTGATTAAGGGTGGAGAAATCAGGCCCAAAGCCCTGGATTTACAGGGTGCCACAGGACTCGGTGTTCTTCCTGCTGAGTGAGATCATCTATTAGCAGGGGGTCAGATATCATCAGTACTCAAATGATACTTGGCTATACAGCTCAACTGCAGGTTGACCAAATTATGCTATGAAGTCTTGTCCCAGTGCCTGGAAAATGTTGAGATCTGAATGGGGAGGAACAAACTTAAGCTTAGCCCTAGATAGACTGAGTGGCTGTCGATGTATAGACCATCTAGATCCAGAGATTCTCCAACTTTAGTTTCATATGAGGTTGCACTTCCTCAGAAAGAACTAGTACACAATATGAAGGTGTTTCCTGGACTCTCACCTTCAATGAAAAAGTAGGTGACAGCTGGGTCCAGGAAGGCCTTAGCACAGATTTGTTTCATGTGTCAACTGACCTGATCATGGATCAGGATGCCCTTTCCATAATCACTTATGCCCTGATCATCTTGCATGTGGGCTACTAGAATGCACTGTATATGGGACTGTCCTTGAAGACACTTGGAAGCTTCAGCTGGTGGAGAATGCAGAGGCAGAACCAGTTATGGGTATGGCATGGTACATCCATATAACACTTTTTCAATGCAAGCTGCACTGGTACCAGTAGGCTTTTGGGTATAATTCAAGATGCTGATTGTCACCTACAGAACTCTACATGGCCTAAGGCCTAGTTATTTGAGAGACTATTTTTCTTCCAGTGTTTCTGCCCATCTCGTAAGATCAGGCAGAGTGAGCATGCTTCAAGTCCCATCTATTAAGTAATGCCATCTGATAGGACCTGGAAGGTGCACCTTCTTTGTTACAGCACATGCCCTCTGGAAAATTATCCCACAGAGATTCAAACACCCCCACAATGCTCTCTTTTAAACATCCCTTGACAACCTGACTCCTTCCCCAGGCTCTGGGGAAGGCAGATGCAGGCTCCCTGTATGAGGGTTGATATGTTTTTAGTGGTTGTCTTTTGGCAAGGATGACCATCTTCCTTCTCTTTTGATACATGTTATTTTACATCTGTTTTTAATTTGTACATTGCCTAGAGTCACCAACCAGCTGGATGGCCTTAAATGTAAACTATAAATTAAAAAAGAAGTAAATATCCAGTCCAGCTGCATGTTTTCCCTCATGGAAGCATAAGGTCTACTCCAATATGGAGAATCACCTTGTGAACAAAGCCATATCTTTACAAATAAATAATTTCCAATTAGTTAGTTTTGGTTCTTTTAATTTCTGGTAATGTGGCACTATATTTCCTTTTTGTTATTTGAAAATATCATTATTTTAAAATGAGAGAAATTAAAGCTCTTTCTGAAAAAACCAAGGATGTCTACAATAAAAGTCAGTAATGCAACATGCCTATAAAAGAGGTTGAAAGAGAAGGAAGACTATCTCTAGACACAAACAATGGGAGTGGTTGTTACAGGCTTATCAAGGAAATGGATTCTTAATCTGTCATGCAAACTATCTGGGAAAAAGGAAATCAAAAGCTTTCAAGAGACCCTGTTTTAATGAAGGAGAGCAAGCATGAACCTTACTTCCCTGATCTGGCTCTACAGGTAAGGTTTTATAATGCCCTGGCTTAGGAAACAAATATAGGACCACAAGCACTAAGAAGGAAGCTTTCACTTAAAGGCAAAAGAGACCTCCATCAGTCAGGCTGGTGCTTCAATTGCATTTTCATTGAAACGCACAACCCCACCTCACCTCCAAAGTCAGGTTATCTTATTTCATTTCCAGATAACATTTAATGTAATAGCTCCAGTGTAATTTGAATTCTAAAAAAACAATGAATGAACCAAAAGTGAACAATTCTGAACTAAATGGATAATGCAGAAATAACTAAAGTTTTTATAATGATTCTGGAAACTAATAAAAAACCCTATAAAACTTAAATACTGAGCTATTTTTGGATCTATAATTTGCCTATAAAAGGGACTTTTTAAATTGGTAGGAGTTTAAAAGTCTGAAAAATATTTAATCTTATTTTAGGAAAAACATTTCCAAAATACCTTGTAGCTTACAAAATAAAAATATAATTTTAAATGCATGCTCAAGGATTTTTACTTCTTTTTGTTTGCTTTCGGTATGATCCAGGAGAAGCTAATAATGATGATCTTGCAACTCTTTGTTAACTTGAGAATTGGGAATTGAAAAGGATGAACTTAGTTTACTTGCAAATATGTCTTGCCTGCAATATAATATAAAACTATTAATGAAACTATATTAAGAATATTCTAGATTGTCTCTACAGTATTTTAGCATCTTTCTGCCATCTTCATTAAGTGGCAATTTATTGTATATAATGAAGACATGCAAATGAGATACTAAGTTGCACTGATTAGCTGATCACCTCAGCAGAACCTTGACTATGTCAAGTGACACTACACATTTTTTTACCTGTGAAAATTAGAACACAGATATAAAATAGCATATGCTCTTTTATAAGCAAAAGAAGATGAAAAGTATAAGTAGGCTGTGTAAATGATTGCAGTCTTCCAAACAACAGCTGAATGTCAGCACTTAATTGATCCTGGCTCAAATACTGAGTCAGTCAATTATGAGCTGATTTTGTTTTTGGAAGGGAGACCACAAAGAAATCCTAGGGCTGTAGATTAGTCTAGGATATTATAAACCATCCCAGAAGA